AAAAAAAAAAAAAGTGGAGAAGCCTGGACAGGAGAAGGTTTCCCAGCAGTGCTCAGCTCAATGGTGCAGGGTTCATCTTTTACTGCCATCCTTGTGGTGCCTCATCCCACTTTCTGTCCATGTCCAGGGGAGAGGCAGAGCCTGCTCCTGCAGGAAACAGCCAGGAGCAGAGCTGCATCGCAGACACCCCACCAGCCCGGGCTGCGGGCCCTGGCCAGCCCAGCTCCCAGAGCCCAAAGCAAGGTACGGCTCTGCCTCCGGCACCCCAGAGTGCACGGTGCTCACTGCGTGCGCAGCTCACAGCTGCGGGGAGGCTGTGTGCCATGGGGTAGAGGAGATGAGCAGCAATTTGTGCAATGCTCTCCTTCATCCCTGTCCGGACCGCAGCAGGAGACGAGACAACATCTACCTGCAGCTGGTTTCTGCAGAGGGGCTTCGCAGGAAAAGGAAGCAGCAGGAGAGGTGAAGCAGAAGAGGCTGCAAGTGCCTTAGAAGCCATTTCTGGACAGAAGCACAAGGCAACAGTGGTAGCAGCCTCCAGGACACAAGTTACTGTGGTCCAAAGCCCAACGCAGCGGCAGGGCCCCATGGAGGGCAGGGAGTGAAGTTTAAGGGGATAGCACAGCAGTGGGGAAGCCTAAAGAAAGAGTCTGAGAGGAAGTGATACAACCGGGTAAAATACAGGGTGGCCTCGAAAGCCAAAGCCCAAGGATTTAGGAAGAGCATAGCCTTCACAGGGCATCCGCGCATGTTCAAATGACCATAGTTTGCTCTGGAAACCTTATCAGCTGTTAGCAAACCCATGAGTCACTGATACTTTTCCAGTGACCCTGTGAATTGCAAAGCCAGAAATAAAATCACTGAGAAATCTTCCCTTCGCATTCAAAAAACACCCAAACAGAAAATCTTCTTTTCTCGCTGCCCAGTATACGTATCTGAGTCAACTATCCAGCAGCCAACGCAGAAGCCACAGACCCGCACCAGTTCTCGTCTCACGGGCAGTGAGCGGCAACAATCCGCCGCTTCCTTGCAGCAGGACCCTCCGTCACGCAGAGCCACGTTTTTAGCAGGAGAGAGAAGCAGCTGACGCCACCGAGGGAGGCAACCATTTTAGCAGAGAAGCCTGAGCACTGCTGCACAGGACAGCCGAGCCCTGTGCACAGTCCTCTCCCCACCCTGCACAGCTGCCGGGCAGCTCCTCTCCACCACCTGCAAGGTGCTGCTGCCATGTCCTCCCCTGTTCCCAAGATCATCCCTGGAGCACAAGAAGTTGGGACAGTGCTGGTCCTGCCCTGGGGACCACACAACCACGCTCGTTACTTTTTAACCGTTTGGGACCAGAGAGGAGGCAGCAGCAACCCCTTCTGCTGCCTGCACAGAGCACAGCTGGTATCCCCTGTGCAGGAGGAGTTCAGCCATTGTGACAGATATCTCTCCCCAATTCAAGCCAAGCCTCCACAAAACTGTCTTCATGCTGTTAAAAGGTAACAGGGGCTGAAGAGCGGAGGATGATAGCTGAAAACAGAGCATCTTTTATCTGGCTGTGAAACAGTTTCAAAGCAAAACAAAAACCAAAACAGCATTCAGCCTGCAAGTTCAGAAAAGAAAAAAAAAAACAAAAACCAACAAACCATGTGAAGCTATAAATATACCTGGCCAAGCTCAGCTGTGAGCTGGTAAATACCATGATTTCCACCAGCTGGTTTGCAAAAGCTTCCTCTCCTGCCATTTCTCCGGCTTGAAGTGCATCTCTCCAGCAGGGGCCATCACCCAAGCACTGAACAAAACACAGCCCAACATCAGGGGAATAATTGCTTCTGTCCCTGCAAAACCGCATTTCAATTAGGACGGGTGAGACAGGCTTCAGGGGCCGCCAGGAGGTCACATACCCCATGTGCCAGGAGACACAGGGAGGGCCTCAGCAGAACATTTCAGAAGAGCTACTTGGAGGAGAGGCATTCAGCATCCATTGCCCCCTACAAGTCCAGTCGTGCCCTGAGACCCAGCCCTGCTCCCAGCACCCACCCTGCTGGGCTAGGGGCTAGTTACCAAATTTCCCAGAAGGCGGCCAAAAGTCCTTGTCGTGGCAGCAGCTGCCTGCTGAGCCCTGAGCGCTCCGGTGCGCGACAGCCAGTGTCACACCCCGCGACTGCCAACACTACCAACAGCCGCTCGCCCACCAGGCATTTTCTCGGTGCTAAAGACCTACTGCCGCTCCGCCAGCACTCATGCCCCGGCACCACCGACACCATCCCATCAGTCCAAGCTGGGCAACAGGCAAAGCCACCTCCGGCCAGCCAGCCTCACACACTGCTTCAGGGAAACAAGGTAAAAAAAAATACTAACATTTCACATCAGCAGTTCTGAACCCAAGCACTGTGGCTGTGTTTTATAGCAATGCTTCCATTTCAACATTTACTTAAATGTAATTGTTAAAAAGGGAAAAGAAAATACTTTGGGGCCAGGCACTGCCGTTCATTTATTCGAAGTATGTTGGTTTCTTTGTTAAAAGAACCTTTTTTTCTGGCCCCATTGCAGGCAGCGAACCAAATCCCCAGCCAGCAGGGAGCTCTCCCCCCGTCCCCCATGGGGCTTTCCCCAGCTCACGCACACCCCGCAGGAGCCCTCGCCGGCAGCCACCCTGCCCCAACCAGGCCCCAGTGCACAGACACGCTCTGTCCCTACGACACCACAAGACCATCCCCCTCCATGTCCCACAGCAGAGAGGAGCCCTGGGCACGCTCTTGCCCACCTGCTATGCTGACCCGCACACCATTAACAGGGGCGAAGCTGGCACCAGGCGCTTGGGAGGGCTCTGGCAGAGATGCCCAGACCTGCTGGAGTTGCACCTCCTCAACAAAAACAAAGTCCAAAGACAGAAGGTCCCCAGGGCCAGGGAAAGAAGCAGAAACACTTACGGAGCGTGAACATTTATCCTGCTCAAAGAGCTCTCTGATAAATGGGGAAAGAGGGCAGACAAAGGTGAACGCATGAATCGCAGCACGAAGGCGGAGCAGGCGAGCATCCTCCCTCCCAGCAGCTCAAGAGCGTGACCTGCATCCTCAGGGACCAGTGTTGCGAACACCCCAGGGTCCCCATGCCCGTAGCCAGGCTCTGCCGTCCAGGCAGCTGCAAAGCTG